CCACGTAACTTCCCAAGATTATATCCTGAGACAGAGAAGGGAGAGACTAGGAGGACAGTAAAGGGCTGAATGAGGGGTGAGAGTGAGGAAAGGAAACAGGGAGGTGAAAAAGTGTTTGATGAATGAATGCAAGAAACAGTAAGGGTTGCTAAACATAAACTTGTTCTGTGTCAGTGTTTTCCCTGAGGCTGACAAATTAGGAAGTTTTAGCAACCTGTGTCCACACTGAATCTCATTTTCAAAGGTTTTGAATTCACACTGTGATTCTTAGATGATCTGAGAGCAGTGCTGTGTGGAACGGTATTTTGCTTTGAATCTGACATGTCCCCCACAGGCTCCTGTGTTGAATGTTTGGTCCCCAGCTGTGGCACGATTTTGGGAGGTGGTAGAAACCATAGGAGGTGGAGCCTACAGAGGAAATAGGTCACTGGGGGCATGCCTTTGAAGATTACACCAGGTCCCTGATGCCTTCCTCTTATCTTCCCGTCTTCCATGAGGTGGGCTGCTTTGCAGTACACATAGCCCCCGCCATGATGTTCAGCCTCACACAGGCCCAGAAACAACAAGTCTGGTCCTCAGTGTGAGGATGCTGAGGTGATTCTGTTGTTAAGAGGGATGAACTCTGTTCTCGTGGAACTGGATGGGTTATCATGAGTGGGTTGTTATAAAGAAAGGTCGCCTGAGGCAATTCCTCTTTTCTGCGTGTGTCCACTTGCCTTCCCACTTTCTGCCATGAGTTTAAGTAGCATGAAGTCTTTGCTGGTCCTATGCCCTCAGATTTCCTGCCCTTCAGACCATGATTCAAAATAAACCTTTCCCTTTATAAATTACCTCCATTTCAGATACTCTGTTATAGCAACAGAAAACGGACTAATACATAAATCCAACTAAGAACCCTGGATATCACATAAAAAGGAAACCTACAACGAATCTGGGAGGTGGACAGAAGAAGGGACACCAGCTAGGGATCTCGGGACTGGAGGGGCTATGCACTGGTGGCTTCCTTTTGCTGCACACATCCCATTCCTGATGCCAAAGAAGCAGCAATCAGAAATGCCTCAACCCACACCTGCTCTTTATCTGGTGGGCCAGGAAAGGGCAGCCTAGCAGAGGGGAAACTTCTAGACAATAGCTGCTCTACTCCAGTCAACATGACAGGAGAAACAGTGGCCCCATCTACCTGCAGAGCTCAGATTTCCATCCCCATCAGGCTACAAAAAGGCATCCCCAGGCTTCCACTGAAGAGGTGTCAGGGAAAGTCAAGTAGGGAACCGGGACTTCATCCCCATAGGCTAGTAATGATCCGTCCCAGATGTGAATGGAGACCAAAGGGAGCTTCCATTCCTGCCCAGCAGTAATGAGACAACCTCCACTCCCAGCTGGGGTGGGCCATCATGCTTGCTCTACCCACCAATGAGGAGCCCCTCCCACTGGTGTCGACAGAGGCTGAGTGTGGAATCTGGACTTCCGCCTCCACCTGACAATAACAAGGTGGTAGCCACCCTTCCCCTGCCAGGGAAGTGTCAAAGAAGTCAGAGAAAGCAGAAAGTCTATAGAAGATCCAGCGTCTCAGAAAATTCCCTGTTTCCACTGAAATCCGCTCAAAATACCAAGGACCAGGAAGACCTCAAAGTCAATGAATAAAGACAATTGATAAATGCCAGCACCAAGATTGCAGAGGATGAATGACAAGTTACGGAACAGGAGAAAGTACATGCAAGCCATGTAATTGGCAAAGGACTAGTACCTATAATACACAAAGAGCACTCAAAATTCAGCAGCAAAAAAAGCAAGCAATTCAACTGAAATGCGGCAAAACCACAAAGAGATGTCAGTGGAGAGAAGGCACAGATGAGGAAACAGTGTGTGCCTGGGGAACGCTTGCTGTCACACTGCAGCTGTGGGGAACCCATTGCCTCTGTTGTGTATGCGATGTAGCTTCCCGCCTTCGGGATGCTAGCAGTGTCTCATCTCTGGCTCCCCCTCCCTGGGTGTCCAGTACAGCTGTGGAGGCGCTGGCTCTGGTCCACATCTGCTGGCCCAGGTCCTTCCTTCTTCCTGTCTCCCCAGCTGTTGCTGTCAGAGCTGTTGGGGACACCCACCTCCTCCCACCACGTGACCTGCCCTACTCTTGCTGTCAGAGACTGGAGTACTGTGGAGTGTCACCTCATGCCCTTGGCGCTCCAAAGCCCTGGGGACCAGGGGAGGTTCAGGTGGCCTTGGCTTCCATGACGGCAACTCCAGTTACACTCTGAGCAATCCAGGCAGGGGCTGATCTGGACACCTGAGCATTGCTCTGGAATTACCTTTGCGGAGAAAGACCAGGCTGATTTTCAAAGGAGTCACTGGAAGCAATGGAGCTCCGCCCACTCGAGAGCGGAAGGAACCTGCACCGCCCACTCTGTGCGCTCTTACACTTGTGCGTTCTAAGAAATAGTCCCTTTGTGCCCATCAAAGAAGCCAGGGCAATGAAGACAAAATGAAGCCTGCCGTTAGAAGCCAGGAAAGCAGTGGTCCTTGGGGGTGGGGAGGAGGGTGACCAATGGGGACACAGGCACTGCAGGTGCCACACATGCTGTGTTTCTTGGACAGGTGCTGATCACAGTCTGTTCTTGTTAGAATTTGTTAGGCTCTGTAGTTACGATCTGGGAACTTGTCTGTGTGTCTGTCATACTTCTGAGTAAAGTTAAAAACCCATCAGTTAGGTTTTGGGAATACACACAGTAAATTCTGAAACTCCTGCTGCAGCCTGAAGAAAAGTTAACAGAGAAGCCAAAAACAACAGAACACAGATCCACTGATACTGTTCTCTCAGATGGGTTCTTGGGGAATGTCAGGTGAAAGCTGTTCTATTCATTTATTTATTTTGAAGTTGGAGGCAGGGAAGGAGACGCTTGGTTTTGAAATGCTCCCAGTAGGCTTCAATTTTCGTGGACTCACTGATGCTCATTATTCTAAGGCTGACACACCTGCTCCTATTTGGGGGCCTCGCTGGCCTGGACACCAAGCACAAATCCAGCCTGCAGGGGGTTCAGGGACCCTGGGCTAAGGATGGTGCAAATGAGAACACCCAGTGAGACTCGCTTTGGACTGGAGACCAGGTGCTCCGACAGCTACAAAGCAGACAGGCTGCGTTGCTACTTCCTGCTGTCTGCAGAAGGCAGCTTGGTGTCCCCTCTGTACCCACTGTGGCAGCATGTCAGCCCTGCCCAGGAGAGGCCATCTGATTCACAGGCCAGTTTTTCTTGAGACTTTACAGGGTCCATTGTGGATCCCAGAGCTCCAAAAGCCTGTTCTGGGGCAAAGAGGTAAAGGGGCTGCTCTGCAGCCCAGCTGCTGGAGCTCAGTCTCAGCTCTGTGACGTGGGGCAAGTATTCACCCTCTCTGTGCCACAGTTTCACTGTCTGTGAAATGGGAATGAGAATAGGATCACCTTCAAAACTTGTTTGTGAGGACTGAGTTTATCCTTCTAATGTGTTTAGGTTAGTGCCTTGCATGTAGTTAAATACAAAAAATATGTATTTTAGCCTTAAAAAAAACTCCTCCTTTGTGTCTTGAGATGGTTCATTATAAAAGGGTTCTGAGGCCAAATGAGTTTGGGAAGTGCTCAATTCCCTTTGTGAGTGAGGGCGTGCAAGGCTCTGCAGAGGGAAATGTTTGGAATGACATTCTGAGGAGAGATGGCCTGTCTTCAGCTTGGGATTCATACCTGGCTGGTGCCTGAGTCACCTGCAGTGTTAAATGTCCACTGTCTTCTCTGCTGAGGTCAGACATTTACTAATAGAGAATATTTACTTTGTGTTGGGATGATTCAAATAGTATTAGAGTATTGACTCACTTTCTACTCATTACCACCCAAAGAGGTTCATAGTATTGTAGCCATGTCTGTCTGTCTGTCTACCTATCTTACATAATTATTTTCAGATGGGGACACTGAGGCAGAGAGCAGCTAATTAGCTTGACTAGGGCTACAAAGTTAGTAAGTGGCAGAGCCAGGATTTGAACCCCTGCAGTTTGGCTCCAGAGTCCATGTGCTCAACCATTGTGTTGCACTGGCCCTGGGGCCTACTGAGCAGCCCTTGGGGTGTTTGTTTGATGACTTATAGCTCATACACCCGCCTCAGAGCCTCGTGGGCAGGCTGGGCCTCTCTGGTATTCTGATCACCACAATGCTGGGCATCTGCCACAGCCTCTCCTTGCCTTTGGTTATTGACTGAATGACTGGTGGGGGATGAGGGCACTGAGGCTGCCCACCCTCGATGTACCCCAGCAACACAAAGAATGGGGCTACAGAGCCTCTGACAGAGAGTGTCTTTATGGGATTGCCAAACGAACGAGCCCAGAGAGATTTTTAAGAATGAATCTCAGAATAGTCCATGGGCCAGACTGATGTTTGGAGAGGGATACAGCAACACTATATTTCCTTGATGCTAGATGTGTGTGTGTGGGTGTCAGTGGAGGTGAACCCTGAGGAGTCAGAGCTGGGTTCCTCTGACCCTCTTCACCTGAAAAGATTTCTCCCAGGGCCTGGCTTTCCAGAAACCATAACAGAGTCTGCATTCTACTTATTCAGCGAGCTGTACTCATTTCCCTCTTTCTGCTTGATTCCTTGTCCCTCTGGTCCTGGTCAGGGTCAGCACCTTAGGAAGCCCACCTTCCTCTCCCTTTCTTGAATCTCATGCCTGTCCCACCCTGTACCCAGCTACCCTAAACCACCTCACATGCTGGGCACACAAACTGGTATCCAGCTTTAGTGCAAGTTCCTTGAGTTAGGAGATATTTGATTTGCCAATGTGCCCACGTGCCTTGGGATGTAACTGGTGCTCAGCAAAACAGCTGCCCCCAAAAGATGATTGCAGAAGAAGCTGTAGCCAGCTGGGGTGCATTTGCCACCTGTGACTGATGTAGCAGTGATCCTACCTGAAGGGCAGTGTCAGACTAAGGGACCATTCTGATCTGTGAACCTCCAGATCAGAACGCCAGCCTCAACCCCCTCATACCTTGCTTGCTTTCAAAATCTCAAACATGAGGGGCAGGCCCTGGGTGATGAGTTCCTCTGTGTACTCCTCCTCCTGGATGGTCTTGAACTCCTTGAGCAGGCACTGGATGAGAGGCCTACGGTGCTGCTGGAAGGCAATCCGCAGCGACTCCAGCCATGTGTGCAGAGTCCACGGGACACCTGGAAGGGAAGAGGCACGAGGGAAGGTGGGAGAGGAGGGGAGGAGAAGGCAGGGAAGAAAACAACCACAGGAGGATGCATGTTTTTATCTGGAAGTTGGCCTTTTCCCCAGGGCATTAGCAAACAATGAGACTGAGGGACTGACTTTCAAAAATAGAGCCAAGACTTGCAGAAGTTGAAATTGAAGGTTATAACTCAATTCCCAGGACTAAGAGTGTCTGTTTCATGCTACTCATATTATTAGGGCTGCATTTTTACCACATAGAATCATCGTGTGGAATACTGGAATTATTATGCATTTTTTCTGCACATTATACACTTTTGAGTTCACAGTCTCTGTCCCCTCTACCCCGACTGGGGAGAGGGACGCTCAGGGAAGGGATTAGGTGACACATCCATACTCAGATGATAGCTGAGAGCTGGTGAAACCCTTCAGTGGACTTCACAACTCCAGCGCTGGCTGGGAGGGTAGTTGCAGCTAAATAAGTTCCGGGAGGCTATTGCTGCTGGTCCCCTGTATGAAACATTTCCATCTGCAGTAACCTCATCAGGTCTCCTCCTTTATGCAGCTTCTCCACCTCATGGTGAGGCAGAGACGGGGAAAGCGTGTCTCACCCCCTTCATGACAGGTAGCCCTGTTCATTCAGAGCCTCTGAGTGTCAAAATCATGCAAAACAGGCTCTCAGGGCGATGCCATAAATATCCCATACAATGAATAATCACTATGGAGAGAGGCTGTTTCCAGAACTGTGGCACAGAGGCTTCTCTTCAGCCCCTGCCTGCCCTGATAGGCCACACCCTGCATTTAGGGACTCATTTCCAGGTCCCACTGCTGTCTTGCCACACTAAAGCCACTAGACTGGTGACAGCTAGGTGAGCCTCAATCCCCAGACCTACTACAGAGATGGCTGTGGGCTGGTTCACACCAGGATGAGCTTCTCTTGATTTTCCTGAATGTCCTTGGCCTCTGAAGTTCTGGTGAGTAAGGGATGGCCTTGCTCTGACAGCTGCCAGTCTCTGTGTCCTGGAGGTGGGTGTGCTCTAAGTAGCAATTCCTCAACCACTGGGAACACCTGGGATGATTGTTAAATATAAAGATTTCCAGCCTTTGTCCATCCAGACCCTCGACAGCAGAGTCTCTGGGTGTAGGGCCTGGCAACCTGTGTTCAGACAAACTCCCCAGGTGAGCAGGTTTCCTGACCGAGGGCAGAGCTTTGGACACAGGGTAAGATGATCTGAGGATGGGTGTTTGGGGCAGGCAGGGTGCTGCCATCTATGTGGACAGTATGGTGTCTTGGCTAAGAAGTGTTCCAACCAATGAAGAAGAGGCTCTCTGGGTCCCCTTGGGGTGTGTGTGTGTGCGTGTGTGAGAGAGAGAGAGTGAGAGTGAGAGAGAGAGAGAGAGCGCAAAAGAGAGACCTACAGCTGGGCTGTGCCCAGTGGCAGAAGGTGCCCAGACTAACCCATGCTCCTGATATCAATTGTGACATCCACGTAGCCATGCTCAGCGCTGTGATACATCGCCTCCCTCAGGGCCCTCAGTTTGGCTTTGCTGTTGCGGCTGGCACATAGGGGTGGCGGGGTTGTCTCCGCCAGGTCAGTCCCCTCAGCCAGAATCTCCTCCAGGGACAGGATATCGCTCTTCTCCTTCTCTGGCTGAGCAAGCAGTTTGCGGAACACATTCCTGTCAATCATAAACCCAGAGAGGAACACGCTCAGAGATGGAAGTGGCTGTGCTGGGGTGGGGGGCAAGGTGGGGAATCAGGAGACCACGTCCTCTGGAGCAGAGAATGACAGGCCATCTCCTGGGTGGTGTTTCAGGGGCCTGACCATAGGCCAGGGGCTGTGGGGATGGAGAAGATGGTGGGGCATGACTAGCCATGTTTCCTGGAGGGCATCTTGGAGCTGAACAATATGCAGAGGCTCTTTCCTTTCAACTGTTAGTCGGCACTCCCTCCATCACTCGGGGTGATGTGTAGTAAGGTCTGCTGGGAACTCTGAAGGGAATACAGAAGGGAAGTGGGCAAACAGGAAGGGCTCTATTATTTTCATATGGTTTCTTCTTACTTCGTGACCACTGACATGATGTACTCTGATCCAAACTGGCCCAGAGTGACCTGTTGCTGTGGTTAAAGCTGGTGGGTAATGAATAAGCCGAGGCAGTCTGTGCAGATGTGTACTCCGTGGAGTTGACTCTTAGCAGAAAGTTAGCATGTGACGTCAACTCCGGCCAGGCCTGGGACCTGGACCAACTCCCACCACCCCACTGGGCCCCACATCCAGAGCTACAACGGGTCTGGGGTAGGTCTGGGAATCTGCATTTTTAACAAGCACCACTTGGAACCTTGAGGCCTTGGCCCATCCTAGCCTACCTGTGTCCATGGGCTGCGGCCTGGCTGAATGAGTTCATATCACCCTGGGGGGTTGTAGAAATTCCATTCCTGTACATGGTTCCTATCAGGGGATCCGCACCACGCTCCAACAGCAAACTAACCAGCTCAAAATTTCCTGCAAGCCCAGAGAAGGGGGTTTCATAAGAGAATAAAGCAAAAGTAAATTCACAGTCACATCGAAGGCCAAGGTGGAAGAGACACTTGGCCAGGGTCAGAACTGGCAACTCACCCACAGCGGCTGCCAGCTGGAGGGGCGTCTCTGAGTAGTTCTCCTCACCATGCTCCACTGAGCCTTCCACCTTGGCCCCAGCATCCAGGAGGAGCTGCAGAGGAAGAGTGGCCATTGAGATGCTTCCCAGACATGCACTGTGAGGAGGCATCAGTAGGCTGGTGGAAATCTGTGAGATGCAAGTGCTTCTTCCCTCCCTCTGGGTCAGTGACCACGTGCACAAGGCTGGAGGATGAGCTGAGGGCCTCTTACATCTTCTAGAACCTGAGACTACCCACAGTGTGGTCCATGCACAAAGCATCATCATCACCTGGGAGAGTGTTGGGAAGGCTGCCTGTCTGGCCCCACCCCAGACCTACTGAATGACAGACTGCATTTTAACAAGATCTCTGGGGACCTGTGTGTGCATTAAAGTTTCTAGAAGCACTGAGCTAGAAGTGCTGGGCACCAGAAAGCTGGAAGACTCCATTGTTGGGTCGGTTACACAGGCCTTAGAGGGCCCTGGAGTGGTTTCTTATGACCTGCAGACTCTCAGGAGTTCTGATGGACTTAGGGGACATCCTTGGTCAACCAGCACAAGAATCCCTTTCACAAATGGCTCTGGGGACAAGCTAGTAAATGCCAAGCTTTCTGGCCAACAAGATCTGTTAATAAAGTGACAGAAGTTCCAGAAGTTTTGCTTCTGATGACTCAATTCTGTGTATTCCCTAAGATAGCTGGGCTTCTTGCTATGCCGGCCCTCTTACTGCTTGAGTCACTCCACCAGCTAGGTGGGCTTCTTAAAGGAGGCAGAGATTCTGCCCATGCCAATCTCACTCGCTGTGGTACTGAGGTAAAATGGGGACAAATCTGCCATCTTTACTACCTCCCTAGGATTGTCCTGCACAGCCAGGCAGGGGCAGCACACTTGATATCCCATGACCAGCTATATCTGAGTAGTGAAGTGGCCTGACTTCTATGTGGCTTTGCTTGGCTTCCCTGTTCCCATTCCTGATTGAAAGGCTGAGGATGCCACTGCCTGTTAACAGGTGGCATCTGTGTCCCCCAGACCACCATCTGACCCTTTCTTTCTTAGATTCCTCTGCTGGGAGGGAACTTGGCATGATATTCTATAGAAGCCAGCTCCCAGGGTGACATGTCACACACTCAATCTTCTGAAACATCACTTTGGGTCTGTCCTAAGGATTCTCATGACCCATCAAACAACAAAGGCTTCTGTGAAGTTTCAACACTGCTGAGTTGTGTCCCTGCTCTACACAGAACTCAGAGGTGTGGGCCATGTAGGGGAGGTGAGTTCCTGCCATCCCTGAGGCTCAGTACTTACTACGGGGCTGGTTGTGTCACAGCCTGAATGCTGATCTCCCTTTTCTAATGAAGTAAAGACTGAATTTAAGACCTAGGATGAACTGGATGGCTGTTCATCCCAAACATAGACTGCACATGGTCAGTGATCTGTGCACAGAGCTGGAGAATGAGCTGAGGGCCTCTCGCATCTTCTAGAACTCGAGACTACCCACAGTGTGGTCCATGCACAAAGCATCATCATCATCACTTGGGAGAGTGTTGGGAAGGCTGCCTGTCTGGCCCCACCCCAGACCAATAGCGGTGGTTACAGTGGGCCAGCCCCTCTGCCTGTCTCTCCCTCTTACTGCTTAAAGAGGGTGGTGACTCTGAGAGGTGCAGGATGTCAGGTGGTGTGCAGTGTTACTACCACGCCATCCGCACTTTGCAGAGAGATTCTTAGTGGGCAGCGAATCCCAGGCAAGCTTTCATGCCAGGAAGACCATGACTCCTCTGAGGAAGGGACTTCCTATCTGCTCACAGCTCACCCACACTGTCTCAGCTCATCCTTCTGCTGCCTTCTTCATTGACAAGGACCTTCATGATAAGGGCACGCCACCATTTTGGAACTATTTCAGAAGACACATGCTAAGGCCCTACCCTAGAACTCAAGATTCTCAAGAAGTGGAACCCAAGCAAGCACCTTTGGAAACACTCCCTTGGTGATCTCGATGCTTCTTCCCACTGGTTTGAAACCACCGGATTCTACAAAACACTGGAGCATGCCTCGGGGAGGCTCCAAGGTATGGACACCAGCAAGTCTCATGTGGTAAGAAGCAAAATTAGCAAATCCACAAAGTAAACACCCCAGAGCAACCGGAAGAATTCGGCAGGCTTGTCACTCTGTGTTTGGGGCTCTGTGTGGGTACTTGATGATTTCATATTGGTTAAAGCTTGGCCAAACAGATCTTTATATATAAAATTTTGATTCATATGATCTGAATATGTTACACTGAATTGCAGTTAACCAATATGAGTCTTGTAAGGATGTACATGCTGGGAGAGGCTTAGATTTGTGTCACGGAGGGGGTTAGAATTAAAGGTCAGATGTGGAGAGGGAAACACGTTAATACCTGAACTACAGGAATATGTCCATGCAACACAGCAAAAGTCAGAGCCGTCCAATGGCGGGTCTCGGGGTGGACGGATGGATATTTATGAGGAGTACTGACAACCTATAAACAAATTGAAGTTATTTTCAAAATGTGACCTTCACAATACTCAGGCTAGCAATCCTGACCTATCTATGGCTAGGCACATGGGCTAGAGATGTATAAAAAGTACATTCTGGAAGGTCCTTGGGAAATGTTGGCGATGCCTGGAACACCTCTCACCAGAATTGGTGTTGGTCCTGCCTGTGTTTGTAAGAACAGGTTCTGAAGTGACCCTCTGAAAGCAGGCCATAGGAGGACTGTGTTTTGGAGATGTCATCTCTGAGGGCAGTGAAAATATTTCTTAGTGATTCTGTGTTCTCTGTGCCTAACAAAGACTCCTTCACGTCTCTAACAGCATAAATGCTCACACCTGGGGTGCCTTGGCGAAGCAATAGCGGTGGTTACAGTGGGCCAGCCCCTCTGCCTGTCTCTTTCCCTCTTACTGCTTAAAGAAGGTGGTGACTCAGAGGTGCAGGATGTCAGGTGGTATGCAATGTTACTACTGTTCCATCTGCACTTTGCAGAGAGATTCTCTGTGGGCAATGAGTCCCAGGCAAGCTTTCATGCCAGGAAGACCATGACTCCTCTGAGGGGACTTCCTATCTGCTCACAGTTCACCCACACTGTCTCAGCTCATCCTTCTGCTGGATTCTTGGTTGACAAGGACCTTCATGTGCTGGAAACATGGGTACAGAGTTTTTGCTGGTTACATTAAAGAATGAGTAATCTGACACAGTCAGTAGAGAGGCCTCAAAACACCCTAGGTCAAGAGACAGGTGCTGGGGAAACCAAAAATTGGGGAAGTGCAAGATAAGCACCCCACATAGTTCTTCTCCCCAGGGTCCTTGGGACCATACCACCTCGGCAACTGTAGGTTAGTTGCCGTGCATGGAGGAGGTCCTGAACTGAGGTGCATGAGGTGGGCTGGAGTAGAGGGCCTGGTAACCCCATGAACTGAGGACCAAAGCTGAGGGGTCCTTGCAGAGATTTGTGTGCTACTTAGGGATTCAGCAGGTGTGGACAATCCCTAAATATCTGAAACTTGCAGGATCTGAAATGGGTCTGGATCCAAAACTATCTATTGTCTGTATCTCTCAGATGGTCATAAAATTGACTAATTAAAGAAATCACACTTTTAAGACCTCATCTAATTTTGGACCAAAAAAGGTTCCCCAAAGTTGTTGATTTATGGCTGGAACATGCCATTTGCTTTGATGTCTAAAACTGCCAATATCTGGCAGACTGGTGCTTCAGGCAGCAGAGAACATGGCAAAGAAAAAGAGAGAGAGAGAGAGAGAGAGAGAGAGAGAGTGAGAGAGAGTGGGATTTCACTTATTTACAGTTGCCATTCTATGCCAGATACTCTCAATATCTGTCCTTCCAACAACTGTGTGCACCACTGCAAGTGTTCCTCTATTTTACAGATGAGGACAGAAAGTTACATCACTTCCCATGCTCCAAAGCAAGTCACTGTGAAGGGGTGGTCTCAGAACTTGAACCCAAGCCTGTCAGATTCTAAAGAGGGAGGGAGGGGGACTGAGTTTTCCACTCTACTTCTTCACGGAAGCCTGAAGATTCACTTTAAGATCTATTAGCTCAGCCAACAAAATGAGCCAGCCAGGATTTGGTGCATTGGGTGAAGATCTGGGGGCAACATCAGCTCAGGTCATTGTCATCTGCTGTGTATCAGGCAGAGAGAGTGAGCAGATGACTTGGAATAGCTCTCTCGGTCTGGACTCCAGAATAAATGAACTGGTGCTATGAGTCAAGAGCTGGAGACCACTCAGCCCACCAAAACCAGTGCTCCCCGCTGCTATTGTGCCTGTTTTAAATGAAATATACATGCAGGTAGACAGCTCCTTAGAGTTTGGTTGGGCAGGGACCTTGGGATGGGCAAAATCTGTCCTGTGGTTGCACCAGGGCCACAGCCACTGAAAGGGCCAAACAAGGATCTGTTTGCTGACCCGAGCTCCCACAGGGTGGCTCTGGAAGGAAAAAGCCCCTCTCTGGGCTCACGGGGCCTGCAACCCTCTGCACCCTTACCTCCACATTCAGGTCAGCTCCGGCATCCAGCAGCATCTGCACCATCGCCTCGTCCCCACGGACGCAGGCATACATCAGGGGGGTCATGCCCTGTGGTGGTTAAAACCAGAGATGGAGAATGTTTACAAGGTGGCTGTGCTCAGTTGATAGAAACAACGGGAAGTCTTACTTGTGTGTGTCGGAGGCCAGGCTTATGCTCAAAATGATAAAAAGAAATGTGTGATTTGCATGTTCCCCCATATTCTGAAAGGAACTGACACTGCCTTTTCAACGTTTATCTTTGCTTAAGTTGGAGGGTTTTCCTATGTTTATTTCAGGGTACACTAATGCAAATGACTGATTTAAACTGTGGGCTCTTTTTGGAACTTTCTGGATTCTGCACTATTGGCTCTGAGTTATCTAATTGATGAACACCTTTTCCCTGACATTTTCTCTTCATAACAAGTGTCCTCTTTGCTCTATGTAAGCTGCTGGTCAGTGTCAAGGGTAATTGGATGCCTCTGAGCATGGGGCATCCCCCATTACTGACATCTGGCTTGACATTATCATTTGCAAGCAAAAGGCAAGCAAAGGAGGAATACCATCGCTGCTTTTGACTCCTGTTTATGACAAAAGAACCACGGTAACGAAGGAAGGGATGGGTTTTTCAATCAAAAGTGTTGTGCAGGTGGCTAGTTGAGAAAACATTCAAGTTAGAGCCTTACCTCACACCATACACCAGAATCATCTCTAGTTTCACTAAAGATATCTAGAAAAAAATTTGAACCATGAAAAGATATCTAACTAGTCTTTGGATCCATTTTTAGGCATAAAAGTTGTGAAATAAGTCATAAAGGAAAATCATTCTAGCGTTGGGGACAGATAATTAAAAACATCATAAACAAAATTCCAAGTAAACAATAAACTGAGACATACTCATTGCATTATAGCAAAGGGCTATGTACCTAAATATATAAAGAGTCATTCTAGGTAAACAAGAAAAACAGAAAAACTTCAACAAAGACAAAACAAAAGATAAGCAGAAGATTAACAGGGGACACATAGAGCTGGAGGGTGTGTAAAACCAAAGCTTCTGGAAAGTAGCGGAAGATTGAGACCTCATTAAAGGCTGACGCCTTTGAGCCACTACTTCCATTTAAAAAAGGTCCCTAATGAAATAGTCAGAGATTTGAACATAGACTTGTATAAGTATATTTAGTCCAGCATTATTAATAAAACCAATCAGAAGCTCCCTAAACTATTGGGGTATGGTTAACAACATGACCATTTTATTTAGCCACTAAAAGTGATTCCTAGAAAAAGAATAGTCAACAACACAGCAAAGTATCTTTAACACACAAAAATTGTGGAAAGCAAACTACAATGAATTCCTGGTTTAGAAAAAAATAACGTGTGTGTGTGTGTGTGTGTGTGTGTTAGTGTTCCTTATTGTTGCTTAAGAAAATTATTAGCTGTGATTAAATAAATAGTCCCTGCCATATCTCGCTGCATGAGCTACCCCTGTGAGAAGCAGCCCCATTTGTGCCTTGTAACCTTTCATCTGGGGGTCACATTGAAAACTGCTGTTTTCTGTTTGTGACATTTCTCCCCAACAAGATTATCTTCCTAATTGGTGGCTATCAGTGTCCGTCACTGTACCAGTTTCAGGATTTGGGGAATGTGGCCCATCTCTTGGTACCTGATCCCAGACTGATTTTTGTGTTTCTTAAACATACCCTAGAAGTTTGGTAAAGTTACCCTGGACTTGGCCTAAGCAATAACAGACAGATGGGCTGAGAACTAATTTTAACCATGCTGAAAAAAGCACAAAGGATGCAAACTAAATATAAATGATGGTCATCTGGCTGATGGCATTATTTCCTTTCTGGAGTAGTTCTATTTTTCTCTCTTTTCCATGTCAGCTGCAATGGTCATGTGCTGCTTCCATGAAGATGAACAAGAGTATTTTTATGAGACGTGTTAAAAGCTGACAACAGAAAGCAACCCAAGTGACCAGCAGGGGGCACCTCTGTCCAGTTCCTGCTGCTCCTGGGTTTGCCTGAGGAGGAGGAGGGGACCCTGCACCTGTTCACTCATGGTGTTGATCCCATCAGGCCCCAGCAGAGACACCGCCTGCTTCACCAGGTCCGTCCGCCCACAGTTCAGCATCCGGAAGCCCAGGTCCTGCTTAAACTTGGCTTCAGTGGCCACTGCGTCCAGTTTTCGAGAAGCGCAAAAGCAGTCGTCGGCCCTGAGGGAGGCAGAGATGGTCACTGGAGTCTAGTGGCTTCCCTTCAGTCCAGGCCCAGCAGGGCCCAGGAGCAAACTCTCGAGCATCACATTTGCTTTTCTGGCAACAGCCCAGTTCCTGGCCTCCCATGAAAACCACTGTCTTCCAGTGTCTCCTGAGCTGTCATCCTTTACGACACTGCCCCTGCCTTTTCCCTCCCTGCGTTCCCATAGCACGCCGAGCTAGGATCACAACCCAAATACTGAGTATCTACATGACTGACCCTCTGCTAAACTCTTTATGTGAGTTAATTCACTCAATTCCCACCCAAGCAAAGAGTTAAGTACTGTCATTATTCCTCTTTTAACTCTGCAGAAACAGACACAGGTAAGGGGCCATCCCAAGGCCACTCAATCCACAAGTGGAGGAGCTGGGATTTCAACCAAGGTAGTCTGTGTGAAGAGCCAGTCTGTGTGTCTACCATGTCACCTTGTCCTATTGTTTGCCTGTTCACCTGATTCCCCACATTAAGGCTGGCGCCTTCTGAGAGCAGGGACCTTGTCTATATGCCTCATTACTCTGTCAGGCAGCACAGCGTATGCGGAGGTGTTAAAAGATGTGAGAGAAATGAACACAGAACAGTGGGATCCTTGTAGTCACAACAGAACCAGATGGAGAATGTGTGAGATGACTGAAAGCATAGATGGTAAGGTGCGTGGCGACGTCATCAGCCAGGTGCAGGGAGAAAGATGTTAGAACTGGGGCAGTGGAAGGGCATCAATGGGGTCAAGCAGGTGACACACTCTGCTTGTAAAGGATGTTATTTCCTTCTCTCAGTGAACTGATCAATCAGTTAATTACTACATCAAATCCCTAATCATTCGTTGAGTGCCTGCTGGTGTGTCAAGGGGTGCTTTAGGTACTGAGACCACCATCCCTGCTCCGGAAGCCCACTGCCTGGTAGGAGGAAAGATACAGGCACAGGGTGTCATCCTCCGTGACAAATGCCAGCTATTCTGGACCAGATGTGTCTGTCATGGGAATATAAAGGATGCTGTATCACATGGAGCCCAGGGGACCCAGCAAGAATTCCTGGGGAGGTGACCCAAGCTGTATCTTAGGAGACGGGAGAAGAGAGGGCAGAAGCACTTTGTGCAGGACAACAGGAGCAGAGGTCTTTAGATGAGACATGGCAGGCTGTGGGGGGGGTGTCACTGTGCAGGTTGTAATATTTTTGGGTCACAAAATTTTGGGGCAGAGAGTTTCAGAGCTGGAGGAAGAGAGAACGGCAGGGCAAGGTCACAGAGGCCCTTTGCTTTCAGTCTTAAGGCTTATCCTTAAAAGCCAGCAAGGGCTGCTATGCATGTGGAGGAGGAATGCAGCTGGATGGCCAACTCTTGGGAACTTGGAGGATGGGCTTGAGGGGAGTCACTTGGAGAAGCAGGGAGATGTGTCAGTGCTGAATGAACTCACTGAGTGGACAAAAGAAGCCACCCCCAAGCAGAAAGTGATAGGGGACTGAGCTAGGGTAGGATTCTGTCTTTTTATGCGCAGATGTGTGTCTCAGACCTCACCTGACAAAGACTGGTGAACCCCCACCCTCATCTGGAGGCAGAGCTGTCCCAAGGCCTTTCCTCCTTCCCCCACTTGCTAACTCAGAGGCTGAGAACTGAGGGAAGGAAGCAGGGGATCAAAATTCCAGGTTTGGTGCCTGCTCGTAACTAGCCTGCTTTGTGGAAGAAGGCAGGTGAAGTCAGTGACGAGATGAACTTTTTCATCCTTGGAGGACGTGGGATAAGTTACTGCTTGAGAATGTTTGTGGCACTGAGGCTCCTGGCTATCGGTAAGGTCAGGGTCTGGGGAGTGCAGCTGGTACTGGACTCCAGGAGAGCCTCGGAAGTGGACTTGACCTGCTTTGGGTTCCTGATATTCATCTCTGCTTGGCTGAGGGGTCTTGGGCCATCCTGGAGCTCCAGGAACCCTGGGCAGGAGCTGCTAACACTAGGAGTTTGATTTTGGCCACCAGGGGGAGCTGACGCAGTGCAGACAGACTCCTGGGAACAGACAGGGAGGCTAGGGCTTGAGGCAGAATCTAGTCTGCACACACTCCAGCAACCAGATATCAGATGAGCCCTCTAAGGGCCTATTTGTATGAGAGCCTTGGTGCAGGGTGGGGGAGGACAGTTAACAGAATTTAGGGGCCTACCGTGGACTGGGACCAGGACTCCAGGATTATGACCCTTCCATGGCAGATGGGAGAGTCAAGACCACCCAAATACTGTTTGCAGAGTCTTCAGGGAAGACAGAAAGCTATCTGTGTGGTGGGCAGGGCGGACGGACCCCTGGCCTGGCTTCACATGACACCAGATCCCAGACATAAACTGCTAGGGCACAGAATGGGGCTGTGCCATAGGGCTTCTTGACCCACCTCATGAGGGCTTTGAACTTGGGTCTTGGACAGGTAGAGTTGCCAGATTAAGCAAACAGAAATACTAAAGAAATATTTTATGGGGCATACTTATATGAAAGCATTGTCCATTATTTATCTTTAAATTATCTTTATCTTTAAATTTAGCTAGGTGTCTCATCTTTGATCTCGGCAAAGACAAAGCTACTTCTCAAGGGTATAGAAAGAACACACAGAGAAAGCTATGGGCCACCCCCCCAGTGTAAACAGTGTCCATCCTCAGAGGGGAGAGACGCTTGGGGTGGTAGCAGGATTCATCTGATGGTCCCTAAAACCAGCTCAGGAAGTTTTATGGTCGTAGAGTAACAGGGCAAGGTCCCAGGACACCTGTCACAGGCCTCCAGCAGAGGTAAGTATGAGGCCTGCGTTTGTTGGCTGGACCTGGATTGGATTACGTGCATGCAAATGTCAGGGAGGTGTCAGTTTTGACTCATTGTATGGACACTTTTTTCTAACACACTGCTGCCTAGGCTAGAAGAAGCTGCTTTAAAATTCAGAGTTTCCATGTTTGGACAAAGTTGCTATAAATAGTCACTGTCACAGAAAAAAACCCATTGCCATGTCTTCTTCCTTGTCTGTCTCTAAGTCCCTTCTGATAGCCTCAATGTTTCATGAAACAATTAAATGAAGCTTCCCATCCCCTGCAGTCAAGATAAGTTCCACATGACTGATAAATGTTATTGTAGCTATTGGGTGCTGGGCCCCATGCTAGGGGCTCCAGAGATGAGAGACAGAACCCTTGTTCACAGAGCTCACAGGCTCACAAACAGATAATTCCAAGAGCATCAGAAGTGTTTACCAGCTCCTGGGGTCCTTGATTTTAATTAGAAAGAGACAAATGGCAAGAAAATTACTGCAGCTAAGATGATGATAATTGTTACAGGAAGCCGAAGTTTATTGCATACTTCCTACTGAAATGCAAGTTCTTTCCAACCATGATCCAGGCACTATTTGGAGCATTGCTCCAGGGATGAGGAAACTGGGGTAAGAGGACTGCCTGAATCACAGAAGACTAAGGGATGACCAGGATTTGGCTGGTGTGATCTGACCTTCTCTGGTTGGTGGGCTCTGGCACTCACCATCATGCCCTTGTGTTCACACACCCAACTCCTACTATAGCTCAACTCTCAGATGTCTCTCAGGCCCTCAAATTCAGCGTATCCACAAGGAAACCGTTTCTATGAATATCTCTGCCTCCACCCTGCAAACTTGTCCTGGCTCACCCCATCTCAGCAATGGCATTGCTGTCTATTCAGGTGCTCAGGCCAGAATCTGGTCTCGTGTCTATATTCATTCCATCAGCTGTTGTTTTTGCCACCCAAATCCCCAGCCCAGCCACTTCTCTCCACCTCCATGGCTCCTACCCTGGTCCTGAGCACCACGATGGGAGTTTCTCTCCATCCCAACCTCTGTTACACAAGGTCAGGGTGACTGTAAGCGTAAACATGACCATGTCATGGTGCTGCTTAAAACCTTTCAATGCCTTCCAGTATACTGAGGATAAAATCCAGCTCCCCATGCATGGTCTGCTGGGTTCTGGTGACAACGGTCTGCTCTACTTCCCAGGTGCCTGTCCTCCTTCACTGTACCAGCAGTACCCCTCTCCTGCTTTGAGGACTCTGTCCTGCTGTTCCCTCTCCTTGAATGCTTTTCCCTTGTTCTTTGTGGGACTGCTCTTTCTCCTCTTTCCAGATAAGCTTGAATTGTACATCCACAGGAGGCCCCTCTGACAGTCGTTTTTCCACTAACATGTTGACCTCCCCAGGGCAGGACCATATCTATCTTGTTCTGTGCTATAGTCACAACAGCGCCCGGTGCAAACAGTAATAACTGATGGGGGAGACAGGTGCAATCAACCATTCACTCTTCTTTTTAAAACATGAATTACTGGACGCTGTGGCTCACACTTGTAATCCTAGCTATGTGGGAGGCAGAGATGGAGAATCATTGTTCTAGGCCAGCCTGGGCCAAAAGTTTGCTAGACTCAATTGTAATCAATAAAGAGCTGAGTGTGGTAGCGTATGCCTGTCTTTCCAGATACTCAGCAGGATAAAAGTCCTGGCAGACCCAGAGATAAATGCGACACCCTATTTGGAAAATAAATCAAAAGGGTTTTAGGCATGGCTCAAGTGGTAAAGTGCCTGTCTAGAAAATGTGAGGCCCCGAGTTCAAACCCTAGAGCCACTAAAAAATGAACAATTCAATTTTAGTTAACTATTAAAATTGTATATATTTATGGTGTGCAGCATGATATTTTAAAAGATGGTTACATGCGGAATGACTAAATTAAGATAATTAATATATGTGTTACTTTGCATACTTACTTGTGGTGAGAAGACTTTTTTACTCAGCGATTTGCAACTATAGAATATGTTGTTATTCACCACAGTCATATTGTACATAGACTTTTGAAATTTTGCCATTCTAACTGAATGTTTGTATCCTTTGACCAACCTTTCTCCTTCTCCTCCACACCCCCAGCCACAATCCCATTTTCCACTTCTATGAGATTGACTATTTCAGATTCCACACCTAAGTAAGGTCATGCAGTATT